CTAAATACACTATTAAAAATACATAAAGGGGATCTCAATTACTTTTGCCTCATGATTGACTGATACTCAAATCGAGGACAAATGTATCATCACAAAACTACTAAATAATAAATAATAAAATCTTTCTCACTGAAAACCAGAGTGTTCAAGAACCTTGACAAATCTTTTAGTGATGTATTTCAGGAAGCATAGCATTGATTGACATGAAAATATTGGTGGTATATCTGGTAAATGGAAATTTTTTCCCCAGGACCTGGCAAACAGTCAGGCCTTCATTTAAAACACCTTTAAGTCATTTGGGATCAGAGTAAAAGACGCAGTCAGGCTGAATTTAACCTGCAAAAGCTCCACGAGATTAAGCAGTAGGAATTCCTTGGGCCACCTCAAAGGAATCTGTGGCCATAGCACACAAGTTAGAGTTTTGTGGTTTCCTTTCAAATATGAAAAGTTCATTGTTTGAAGAATTGGAATGAAAGTTAAGATATCAATAAATTGTTTATGGATAAATGGTGAAAGCAGTCTAATGGAGAATATTATGCAAAAGTCCTTATTTGATCGTCCATAGATATCCCAGGCACAACTCCCTACAAAACTGTGAGCTTTTTATTCTAATAGATGCCTCTAAAGTCCTAGTTAGGTCAGGGGTTGTTAAATTCAACAGCAATGGGAAGTGAACTCTGGAAAATGCTGACATCCACATTTCTCTTTCTTTAATGGAACTGAAAATGTTCTATCAGCACATTTCATTAAGACATAAACAGATTCAGAGACTGTGCTATATTTCCATGTCTACTATTAGCTGCCATTCCAAACAACGTATGTGTGAATGCACAATTCACTGAGCACAAGTATGTGGTAATCTGCCCTGTAATGGCCTCTCAAAATGACAGTCAAAATGGCTTCCTGAAGGTCAAGTCTGATTTAAATTGTTGATGAATTAGGAGGTAATTCTGCATGATTGAATATTAATATGGAGCTGTGCTAAGTGAGGCACTTTAAACCTTAATGAGCACGTTAATGAATGGGACAAAATGTTTTTCTTTTCACCTCATGTGAAAGTTTAAAACTACTAACATTGATAGTTGATTAATTTTTGATACTTGCTTTTTCCTTGAGAATGTTTATTTGGTTAAGTTGCTAGTTGTATTGATTTAATACCTCAGTTCCCACTCATGTGATAGACTGTCAAAAGGGTGGTATCAAATGGCCAAGACCGTTTTATGTAAATTAATAAATGTAGAAAATGACAAAAGGCAATTAACAACTTCTAAACTACAACCATTGAGATAAGCATTCCAGTTAGAAATTTCATTATTTCTACTGTCTATTTTATGTTGAATACAGAGTTTTATTGCCAAATACTTGACAGTCAAGTTGGAAACAAGCCACATCTGTCGACATGTAACAACTCTGGCTATTTGAATCTGTTACACGGTGATGTTTCTCATGGAAATCACATGGAGAAAGCGCATTTAAAGGGATTCTGTGGGGGGAGGGTGGATAGAATATGATTACCCTTATTAAAACTAAGAAGGGAATGCTCTTTACATTCAATCAGTATGCAAGGGCTTTATGTTTGCCTTGCAATTGGAGGTATGAAAAGGAGGCTCTAGAGTGTTCTTCATGAGCCAAGAAGGGAAAGAAAGGTAATGCAAAAGCACTAGACTGCTTTAGGAAGGCACAGGTCAAGGTTTGCAGCTACCCTCAAGGTGAGGACTTAATTTCTTATAAATGGTTATTAAATCAAGATTTCCTAGGATAGAGCCTTTAGTAAGAGGTTCAACAATCTTACGCCTTGATACTTTCCATTGATGAGCCTGGTTTTTCAGAGATAGGAGCTTGTAGAAGGAAATGAGTTGTAAAGCAATATTTATGTATATGGAAGTAGCTGTCAGAAGAACACCACGGGGTGGACACAGCGCACTGTGGAACAAAGAAACTACTCAGAATCCCAAGATGACTTTTTCAAACTGTTATTAACCTAACTTGGTTGCAAAAAAATGAAAAGTATAAAAGCAAATCTAAGAGTTTTTTTTTTTTTTTTCTCCTCAGAAACTCATTTCTAGATGATAAAGGCAATGTAATTGACTTTGGAAAGCCAGAGGTCAATTCTTTTTATCTGTAGAAGGGTTCTGTGTCAATAACTGCCAAGTGAAATGTTTAATAATATAATATGCATGGTTTAGAAGCTATTGATCTTTCTGCTTTTGTTTCCTCAAACAACATTAGAAATGTACTGTACATCTAATTATATTGGCAAAACCTTTAAAGACATAAAGCATAGCCTGATGAAATTCAATTGGAATAGATTTAAAATTAGCACAGCCTAATTCCCAGGGCATTCCTTATTCCACCTTTAATTTTAATTTTTTTCCTTGGAGATTTGAGAAATCGTCTTGAAATTCCATTCTTAGCCACTGTGTCTGACATTTGTCCACTGTAGATCTCTGCTTAACTGAGGATGATAAGGATTTGAATATTTAAGGAAACATGGTGTGATACCACTTTATCTAATGAACCACATGTTGCAATTTAATGAAAATGTACTGTTTATTTATTCACCCTATGCTCTAAATACCTGAGCTCACAGAAAATAATCTCTCCCAAATCTGGGCATCAAACTCAAATCCCCACAGCTTACATACCAAGAGTATATATGGAGTTATTAGCCCATTGGTTTTCTCTTGTAGTGGACTAGGCTTGTTCACCGCAACTTTCCCATCCATTGGTGGCGTCTTGGCATTTGTTTGGGATCCATTGTCTGAATCCATAGAGCCCTTACCTCTTCTGGTTACCTCTATTCCAGAAATTCTTAAGTTTGGGAGGCACTCGCATTTAAAATCCAGATTACTGTGATATCAAGGGATTTGAATGCAAATAAAGCATGAAGGATAATTAATTCATGTACAGGGCTATTGGGTGGATGGATCTGCCCACTACTATGGTAGCTCTGTTGTGGAAAAGAGTAAATGTATTTGGAAGAGTTTGGAAAAGCTTTTGAAAGAACTTAATTTGAACTCAATGACTGCCTTAATAGAGACAAGGGTATCCTCGTACTCAGCAGTCATGATTTTCCTGGGGAAAGGTAAGAATTTCATTATGAACAAAGACAAGTCTGCTGTGGAGGAAGTTATCCATAAGTCTGAGAAAACCAAACTGGGACCTAACTTAACAAAGATCTTATCATAGCCTGGTATAGGAGATTGAATTTGCCCTGAAAGGCTGCAGAGAGAAGGCAAAACATATATAGGTCCAACTCACCATGCAGCGAAGGTATCAAAGTGGAAATACTGTGCTAGAAACTGTGATTTCACCTTAGTAGAAATTCAGATCAACTGGACTCATGGGGTCACTTGGTTTGTAGGAGAAACCTAAGAAAGGACAAGTGCCTCGTCTCATGAGTCCCACAGGTTTTGAGCAGGGTGTGTGTGTTTTTGAGTCATTTTCGAAATAGATACTCTCAGTCACAAGGGAGTGTTGGTTAGATAAGCACCAAATCCACCTGGAAGATGAATATTTGATCACAGTATTCATAATAACAAAGGCCAGGTTCTCATGTGAGTAATTATCACCCATCAGTTTAAATACCTATGTGTGTAGTGTACACCTTTCTAACCCTGACTGGAAGCACTGGCAATATAGGTTATTGGTAGGCACTTGACTGGTGGAACCTAAAGACACTAGTCTCTGAAGATCAGACATCTGGAGCAGTTTCAATGTGGACAAGGCGAAGTTAATTCTGAATCAGTAGGGAATCAAAATGTAGGCATCTCATCTTTTAAATTACTGGCCTTTATGAAAATATATCTTATTGTAAGGAATGTGTTTTATCTTATAAATATGGATTTTCTATGATTCTTTGGTAAAGCACTCTAGACAGTTTTCTAATTATTTGAAATTCTTTATAAAGAAACTCATTCTGACTGAATCTTATGCTTCTTTGAAAACTATATATGGTCATTTCCTGAGTATCGGAAAATGATTAGTTCCAGGAGACACACACATATAAGCATGCACACCTGTGTGCACAAACATAATACACACATGCACATATGTACACACACATGCACAAACACTTGTGTATACACTAACACACATGCACACATATGTATGCATATGTATACACACACATGCAGACCTGCACTCAGATGCACACACATTTACACATGCACACACACACATAAAGTCTATGAATATTCAAGTTCCTTATATAAAATAGTCTAATGTGGATATAACCATATACTCCCCCTAGACTTTTAATAGATCTGACTTATTATATATAATTTAAAGCAAGTTATGTATGGCTATCATACTGCAGTTTAGAGAACAGCAGACAAAAGCAGATTCAGCTTTTCAGTATTTTCAGCCATCAACTGGCTTAGTATTAATGTGTGGATGCTAGAGCAGCAGGTAGAGAGGACAATGTGTGTACAGCCTCACTCAGTTACAAGAGAAGTACATCACGGGGGAGTACAGATTCTTGATCCAGTGCCCTGCTAACCTGCTTGCTTGCTTCCCATTCACTTAATTCCTTTTCATTCAGCCAGACCTTATGGTTTTCCCACAATGCAAAGGTTCTTGTGTCATCATCCAGACTAATGATATCCCCCATCTTTCTAAGAAATCTCTACTTCCTTTGACCCATTGGCAGCTTGTCCTTCCTAAAGGTCCCTTGGAGGAGCTGTCCCTTGGTACTCACTAATCACTGCAGGCACTGGTGGGGACCCAGCCTGCTCCTCTGTGCTATTAGAGAACTCAGTGAGTCCCTGCATCCTAGCTTTTATCACATGATGAGCTCTGTGTAGTGCATTGCCCTTGCACACAGACTGTTCACTGCATACACTGTGACTGTGTCCTGACCCAGTCGTACAACAGTGTGTGGTTTGTATTAAGTTCTCAGCAGATAAGGTATGAGTAAGGTAATGGAAGAGATTCATGGGCAATAATGAATTTGGGGCGTTTGAGTTGTTGAAATAATTGTATCGCTTTTTGCCTTGCAGAGGATCAAATTCCCAGAGGTTTCCCCACCATTGACATGGGGCCCCAGCTGAAGGTGGTGGAGCGCACACGCACTGCCACCATGCTCTGCGCAGCCAGCGGTAATCCGGACCCAGAAATCACGTGGTTTAAAGACTTCCTACCTGTGGACACGAGCAACAACAATGGTCGTATTAAGCAATTAAGATCAGGTAGGGTCTTGTCACTGTTTCTACGAAGTCCCAGACGATTTTTTTAAATGATCTTTCTCATTTTTTTTTATTTTAATTTTATTTATTTTTAATCTCTAGGTATTGCTTTTTCTCCCTCTTCTTTTTCTCTGTTATTTAATGTGTTGTACATGTTTGTGAGGTCATGGCCTGACTCAGAGTCTGTCTTCTCTTTGTGCGTTTTGCGGCTTCTGTTTAATCCACATTGTTCACTGCTGTGACTGTATTCTTGATAATTTTTTTTTATTTATTTACTGCTTTTCTGCAGTATTTAATGGATCCATTTCCTCTTCTTTCTTCTTTCTCTGTTTTCTTTTGAAACCAATTTATTTCAACATTGGACTTCATTCAGAACATGCAAGAAGTTCCAATGACTATTTCCATTTTAAAATTTTCACAGAAGACATGAAAAGACCTCAATTTTATTCAACTATGTTTTCTGCTGTCTTTTCTACATTTAAACTCATCCAAATAGCAAAGTTTAGTAAGTTTGGGCACATCTGCTCTCTTTTCACTAATACATCAGGCAAAGAAACATTCACTCACGCGACCAGTTGTATTTTTGAAAGTCCTCAAGCCACCAAGGACGTGAGGGGATTTTACTGACACCATCACTCTATGGTTGTGGGGTACACAGCCCACAGTCTAGCCACAGCAGTGCACGTTCATGCTCAAGGGCTTTGAGCCCTCCGGGGACTGGATCTACAGAAGTCTGCTTTTGATGTAGACTCCAGCTTTTGCAGTCTCTTTCTCTCTTTAGCCCCTCCCCATTCCCGCCCCAGTTTACGCCTTTGCTCTCTGTAGATTAAAATAGAGATGATCCTGAATTTCTTAAAGCTTAGAACCTGTCCCAAGGTAATTTCATGGGAACTTATACTAATAATCCGTGTACTATGATGTTGGTAGTAATATTGATACAAAATTCTAAGTTGTTTAACTGCCTGTCTTCCCAGAATTCTCGGCTTTTGACCTGTCCTGTGATGTTAAGCGTCTTGTTAACTGACTTTTTTGCTTGTTGTCAGCAGAATTGTGTAGATTAGCATTCTGTTATTGTAAATAATTAATTATTCACATGTAACATAGTTGATTTAGTATAAAGCTTTAACTCTGAAAAATTTGTACCAAATTATAAGGAATATAATAATATTTTTATGCTGTCTTTCTTCTCTCCGTATTTAAATCTCCAGAATCTATTGGTAAGTGCTTAGTTCTGAAGCGCACTTCACCCCCACTAATTTCCATATCCAGAATATGATTATTATTATTATTATTATTAATAAAATGCATGGCATGCATTTTACTAACTGTCAGTGTAGGCACAAGATTGCTATAGGGGCACACACATGCGTACCTCCACAGAACCTGATCATGAGAACACCATCGAAATAGATAAAACAGCACACAAGTTCTATTTCACATTTGTGGCCTAGTGAGTAGCCTTAGGTATCCAACCAGCACTGTTTGCTTTTAGCTAGTCTTTAGCATTTCCTCAAATAGTATATATATATACATATATATGTATATATATATATATTTATTTATATATATACTTAAATAGCTTAGCCAGTACTTTCCTAAACTATGTCATTAAAATATTGTATAACTCTTTTTGTAAGGATGCGAAGCCTATATGCTATCATTCTAATCCCACATGACCCCCGACCTAAGAACTCAGTTGCTTCTCTGAGAAAGGCAGTTCTGCCTATTATGACCTTTGCCCTCTGTGGTTGAATGCACCTTGCTTTTATGATCTAATGCTACTATCTAATATATTCCTGTTTTGCCAGTATAGTAATTCAAGTTTCTTTTAAGACCTTATTGAATTCTGTAAGTCTAATTGAATTCTTCTCCCCAGCCCTAGCCTCTCTCTTCTCGTACTAATGCTTCTTCTTTCTAATCTTATTTGCATTCACATTATCCACCCAGGTGGTACACCAATACGAGGTAAGAATGCTGACCTAACGTTCACAGAATGATCTTGCTCATTCTCTCTGTCCTTTCATCCCTCTCATCTTCGTCCTGTTTTCCAACTCATCCCAGTGCTGTCCATCAACTTGGTTTCTTCTCCTCCTTTTGGTTATGATTCGTGACTCTCATGTTGTGGGCTTTCCTTTTCCTTTTTCTCTCTTTGTTTTGTTCATTTCTTTCTTTATGGAAATGATTATTTAAGTTGTGATATGCTTCAAAGAAAGCATATCCAGGTCCATGGACCCCAGACCAGTCACAGCGTACCATCTGTCCCTCTTTTTTTTTCCTTTTCTTCTTCCTTTTTCCTTTTTCTCTTTTTTTTCTTCTTCTTTTACCTTTTTTTTGTCCAAATGGAGAAAAAAAAAGATCATTTTTTTCTTCCTTAGCTGTTCTTTTTCTGGACCAAAGCCAAGGCTGTCTGGAGAACAGTGGCAGGCATGCAGAAGACAGCGGGACCACCTGCTTTTTGTCTGTATCTTTCAAAGGATTTTGCTTTTGTTCTTCAAGTCTTTTTTCTCTTACTGTCTTAAAAGTCAAAGAATGACTCCCTTTCCACCTGACCCCTCGCCTACATTCTGACAGCTACTTTTTTCTCCACTTCGTTTTTTCTTGAATGCTCGTCTCTGGATTTTTGGATCTTCTGTCCTTCAGGCCATGGAAACAGGTTCTCGGTGCTCTTGGTGGTATGTGGTATTGCTGGTTTTTCAGACTTGGACCCAGTGTTCGTTTCTTTTGTAATTCTTGTTTTGGATTTTTCTTGGGGTTTTGTGACACCACACTGCTAATCCCACTGGTGGATTTTGATGGGTGTCTTAGGGGATCAATCCAGAGGTCCTCAAGCAGTGATTGGGTGGCTCTTCCTGGCTGGCCTGGGCCCGTGCTTTTTAACTTTTTTAAAATCCTCTAATGCAAATGCTCTTTGTTTTTCAGCAAATGTCATAAGTGATTGTAAGTCGTGGCAAACTGTCTTTCTTTTCTTTAAAACAATCTGCATGTCTTAAGGGAGTTTTGTTTATTTAAGAAATATTTTGATAACTGGTACTGACTAATTTTAATTTTTTGCTTTGTGCAGCCTTTTTGCTTGCTGCGAATTTTTGGCTTTCTTCCGCAGAAGACTTTCTTGAAAACCCAGCCTGGTTTTTTTGAGCGTACCTATCTTTTGCGCCACTTTTGATACCAAAATGAAACAAAACAAAACCCAAAATTAATCTTTGTTTTATTTAAAAGCCATACTTCCTTGAAGCAGTCTCACCCATCTTCATTTGATTAGTCTAGGAATTAAGAGTGTTAATGATGACTAGAGTCTTGCTTGGGAAAAGAGCTATCGTTACTTATGCTAGTATTGATGGTGTAAAAAAAATAATCTCTATATGTTTCTCTCATCGCATCATTTTCTGTCTGTGCAACTTAGCAAGAGATTGAATCGACGATGAGCGGACCTTCGCTTTGCAGGGCATTTCAGATTGTTAAGAGGCTTAGCTCGCTGACCACAAAAGCCTTCTCTGACCATCACTTTGGTGATATATTTTATATCCATACAGGAGCCCTGCAGATCGAACAGAGTGAAGAATCTGACCAAGGAAAATACGAGTGTGTTGCCACCAACAGCGCGGGCACTCGCTACTCTGCCCCTGCCAATTTATATGTCAGAGGTAGGAATGGCATAACCCTGGATTCTTCATTCAGGCTCAGGGGGAGTTGAGAAGCCCACAGGGTGTGTGTGGTCATGGAAGCACTTAACAAGAGGATTTGGTAATGATTTTTGTAGCTGGAGCAGTTTATTATATAGAGAATTGAAAATGTTAAATACGTTGTTTCTAAATCTATACCAAGGCTTGAGGTTTGTAAGTATATTTGCATTATTGCTTCTGATTTCTCTTTTGGCTCTATTTATTGATCTGTGCATTGGTTTGAGGTTTTCTTCTACTGTTTCTGTTGTTTCTCTTCTGTTTCCTTAGCAAACCTTGAAATAAGTTCTCAGTGTGCTGCTAAAGAGCTCTGTGTGGAAGGCTAGGCATGAAGGTGTTTATGTCTTCATGACTTCTGCCGAGGAGCTGGGACGATAAAGTTGCTAATGTAGAAAAACAGCTGCTGCATAGAAATAGCACGATTATATTCCTTCCTTTGATTCTCTCTTAATCAAAACACCAAGTTATATATGTGACTCTACATATATATGCCATAGAATAATGATGGTATTTTAAAAAGTAGTATTAATTGTCTTTACATAAGATTGAATTCTAAAGATGTATTTGTATTTTCTTATAGTGTATTAGAAATGATTACATCTTGAGCATTGGAGAGGTGTACTTCATAGGTTTTTTTACTTTCTCTCTTTCTTTCTTTGACCTAGTAGAAACATGTTGGTATGGGACTACATAGGTGAATAACTACTAGAGGCATGGGAGGAGGAGGGAATCGTTAAAATTAGTGAAGCCTTCAAGTTACCATAGAATGGGGTCCTTTAAGAATATACCTAGCTTGATTTTGAAATTTTTGTTAGAGATAATTTTGTGTCCCTGGGGATGTTTCTTTTCTTTCTCTCTACGGGAGTTTGTGGCTGGTCGGGGGGAGGGTGGGCATTGAACAAAATGTGTCTTCCCTAAATTCTTTGAAAGCCCTTGATCCTTTTTCTCACAATGGTGCCCCTTCTTTGCTGCATGAGGCATGTGTACCTTCGATGTAAAATTTCAAAATGATGCTAGCTATTGTTTCTAATATTGCCTTAGTCTAGAGGTATTGCTAACTTTTCCAGCGGGGTAGGAATGATGAACTAGAGCAAATAACAATGTTCAAGTAGCAATTGAAAGCCTTGATATGGCCTTTTTACTCTCTCTGTGTTTCCCTTGTTTTTCTCCTCTCCTCATTTCATTGTGTTCTGCATCTAACCCCCTACATCCCTCAGAGCTGCGAGAAGGTTGGTGTGTTTTTTCTTTTTACCCACCTTACAAAACTGTTACTTAAACCGATAACAAAGAATACAAATGAAATGAACGTAGATGCACCGTGTTCTTCCTTTGGCTAATGGTATATTCAGCAGAGAATGCTCTGGCCTTGGCTTCCATTGCTTGCTGTTGCTAACCGTGGTGCATGATGGGAGAGAATGTACCTGGGTGCATGGGAACTGGTAACACGTAACTCTCTAAGGTCCAGTGAACTTGGTCAGTGTTCCTGCTTTCTACCCTACCTTCCTATCTCCCGCCCCACCTTTTATTCTTGTCTTCCTAGGGTACCTGCTGAACAGAGAATGATGTTTTAGAATTGTACCCCCAGCCCTCCATTTCTCTTGACATGTTCTTCAATGAGTCTGTGCTGGCCCCTGCTTGCTTCAGTAACCTCTGAGTTGGCTGCAGGAGATGTGCTTAGCTCTCTCCTCTCTGTAAATGTTACTCACACCTTTTGGCCATTTCAGTGAGCCCTTTCCAATCAGTGGATCACAAGGATAGCCAGAGCTTCCGGACAGATCTACTTAACATTTTCTTGGGGTTAAAGTTTATTTCTCAGTTTTTTTTTATATAACTTTGAAAGTCAGTATTTGATATCCATATTTGCAGAATTCTCCTGAAGATTACCCCCCTTATCTAAAGTTCCCAGAACCTAATGCCCAAGGTGGAAACTATTTGTTACCTTAGCTTTGTGCCATGTCAAAACCCCATGTATTGAACTCACCTGAGCAAGGCAATTCTCCGAAGCAGGAACACTGAAGTGTAAATTGCTTGGTGATGTTTTCCTGTGTTACATTTTTTTTTAATATGCTCACTTCTCCCAATGTCACAGTCTGCTGTGTAGTTTAGATTCAGTGTCCCTCAAATAGAATGCACACATAAAAGCATCTTGCTGGATGCTGTGGTCATTGATGTTGTTTGCCCTATATATGAACTGAATGGAATCCTGAATGTGAATACTCTTCCCCTGAGTCTGCAGTCCTTACTTGTAGCAAACTCCCCTTACCCTGTTACCTTCCAACTTCGGCCAATCCCCATCTCAACCACTGTGCTCTTCTTCCTTTGTGTTTAGTTCTATCTTCCCATCATTTCTCCTGTTGTCCTTGTCCAGGATTCCAGCTATTCTCCCTGTATTCTAGCTTGGGCCTTAAGAGTCCATCTTGTGCATGGCTTGCATGATTCAGTCCAGTATAAAATCTACTGTATTAGTCTGTTCCTTCTCTGTGTGTGTGTATATATATATATAAAATATACATATATATACATATTTCTGTGTTTGTTCCATTGTTAGTATGAGGTTTTGAGGCTGCATCCCTCTGAATCTGCAAGTAAATAAATTGCTCTTTCAGTTTACTCAAGGTGGTGTTTCCAGGGCCGGGATGTGGCACGCTCCCCCACCACCACACACACAATCATATCAACTGGAAGTATACACACTGAAGCCAGTTCTGATACACATGCTAGTGACCTTCCAGTCTCTTTTTCTGCATATACATTCCTGCATAGAATCATTGTTATATGCATGTATGTATATGTTTATGTGTTTATCTTATGCATGGTGTTTGTGTATTGTTAGTTTGTAGATAGTTTTCTCTTTTCGTGTGGGGCCCGTATAGGTCTGAATCAGCTGTTGTATGAATGTGTCTAAGATATCAATGATTAAACTGAGCCAGTTCTTCTGTGTATACACATACCATACTTGTATGGTCTGTATTATCCACAGTTTTCCTTTACGTTTTGTTTATGGACAGTTCACACTGTTTCAGTTGTTCAATCGTGTCTGTAGAGTGCATGTCATGTGTGTAATAAGCTGCTTTATTTGGGCCCAGCATATGTTATCATGTCACCTTGTGTTTTGTTCCAGTTCGCCGTGTCCCCCCACGATTCTCTATCCCACCCACTAATCATGAAATCATGCCAGGTGGAAGTGTTAATATCACCTGTGTGGCTGTGGGCTCACCAATGCCTTATGTCAAGTGGATGTTGGGGGCAGAAGATCTGACACCTGAAGATGATATGCCAATAGGAAGAAATGTCCTCGAGCTGAATGATGTAAGACAGTCAGCAAATTATACCTGTGTTGCCATGTCAACACTGGGTGTCATTGAAGCAATAGCACAGATCACTGTCAAAGGTATGCTCAGGAGACCCCGCTCTGAAAATCCGAGTTAATGTCATCCCTGTCCCCAGAATTTAAAAATGAATCAATTCATCACTTGTTGTTTTGGTTGTGTATTAGCTAATTGTACCTATGCTAAAGACATATGAAAATATATAAAATGTTCATATCTTAGGTAAACCAATTTCTCTTACTCCTTCTTTTTCCCTTCCTCCCTCCCTTCTTCCCTCCCTCCCTCCCTCCCTTCCTCTGCAGTCCTAGAGATAAAATATAGGACCTTGTTCATACTAAGGTAGTGATCTACCACTAACCTACATGTTCAAACATTTCGTGTGTTTTATTTTGAGACAGGGTCTCATTAATTTGCCTAGGCTGGACTGAATTCCCACTGAATCCCCTAGAGGCCGAAGCCAGTGATTCTCTTGACTATTATCACAGGTTTATTACCAGAACCTACCTGCTGATTCTTTCCTGAGTATTGGCAGTCTAAATTGGGATAATCATTAGAATATTTAGCAGTGGGCCTGGAAAGATGGCTCAGAAGTTAAGAGCCCTGGCTTCTCTTGCAGAGGACCTGGGTTCAGTTCCCAGCACCCTCATGGTTGCTAACAACCGTGTATAACTCCACTTCCAAGAGAGTCAGTGTCATCTTCGACCTCCATGGGCATTGCACAACACAGGTGCACTTACAAACATACAGGCAAAACAGTCATACAAATAAAATACAAATAAATATTTAAAAATTCAAAAAAGAATATTTAGCAGCAAGACTGGCCCAGTCACTAAGCAGACAGAGGAAGAGTGCTGCCCTGGATCTATGGCCTTGGTAAGATGGACCGTCTACAGACTTCCTACAAGTCCACAGCCTTGATACAATTCTAAAGCAATAATTGCTAAATGCCCAAAAGCTCTGAAAATAAAGGAAAAAAAGAAAAACTGATTGAAATCAATATAATCTAGTAATAGATGCTTTAAAGTTTTAATGGGTTGCACCAGTTAAAAAGCAGAATGCAAATGGTGTTTCATTCGGTGTTCTTTCTTTCACCTTGGATACAAGAATACTCATGAGATAGTCTCGTCTTCAAATAAATGTACTAAATATAATAAATGTATTATATTCTACAAATATTTTTCAGTAAAAGGAAGTTGAATATTGCTTTTACCCAGAATTTCTAGAATTCTAGAAAATTTACAAATTGGGTCATAGTAAAGGTGACTTAAATTTTCTGTCTCTGTCTAGAATTATTATCTTCTCTTTCTGGGCAGTATACAATTAGAAAACATAACACATGTTGTAATTGGTATTATGTCTCCAACTTAGCATATGTATCAAATATATGCCATGGAAATCCAAGAATGTAGCAAATGAATAAATTATTTAGTATCAGCATGTATAGCCACTTAATATGATGTATTGTATATACTTAAAGGATTAAGCATATATGAACTTGTCCATACATTTTAAGTATAAAACCGATACTGTACAAAAGTGTGACAGTGAAAACAGTGAAACCAGGAAGCTAAGCTGAATAGCAGTAAAGGCAGATTTAGTTAGCAATGTTTATATTTGCCTAGAAAACTCAGAAAGATATGTAAAATGAGAAAGACCCACTTTGGGGGCTGAAGAGATGGCTCAACAGTAAAGAACACTGGCTCTTCTTGCAGAAGACCCAGATTCAAATCCTAAAACCCATGTGGTGGCTAACAACCATCCATAACTCCAGTTCCAGGGGATCCAATGCCCTCTTCTGTCCTCCTCAGGCATGGCATGACATGAGTGCACTTAAAACACATGTAGGCATAACACTCATACATACAAAATAAAAATAAAAAAAATAAAAGAATTACCCATTTTGAAAAATGTCAGGCCAGAATATTTGAATAAATGTTTTTAATAGTATTTTTTAGATAGTTCTCTTGGCCCAATATCTTCATCCCATAGTTCTTACTAATATGCAAATATAAAGCCACCTCTTTTCATAATAAACATTTGCCCTTTAAATATTTGAAGATTTGCCTAAGACATTTAAAGAGTTTGAAAGCAAGAGTCATGTTAAGCTGATTATTGCATTCTGTTTGTATCTTTGTTTCCTGAATATTTCCACTTTCTCTCCTTTCTATCTCAAAAGTAACGTATATGTATAAATCTTGAAGGGGAAAAAGAAAGCTAAGAAAAAGAAAGGAAAAAAAAAGAAGAAGTTAAAATGGAAAGAACTTGAAGGAACCGAGGAAAATGAGCACTGAATGACTCACGATGGCAGTTGCGAGCTCTCACTGGAAGGCCTGTCTGTGCCAAGCAGTGTTCCAGGCACTGAGAATATAGCTAGAGTTTGATGTTCATAAAATGCTACTATTCAGGGAGTGCTGTGATGTTGGCCTTATGCTGACAAAGAAACCAAGAAAGAGCCTGATTATATGTATTGCCTTCTGGGTTTTAGAATCATTATGCAGGGTAAGGCTTTCGAAGGAGCCACCAGTATAGACAGATCAGATTCATAAGTTGGAGAATTTTGAGTTTTGTTCTATTTAAAAGGAAAAAAAAAAGATCTCTTAAAAACTTGTATTTAAAAACAGATGTTTGTCAACTTGCTGTACTCCCAGATATGTCTATCAGATGCAGAATGCAAATTTTTTCACTGGCATATTTCTTTAAAAAGTGACTTGTGGCTATGTCTTGAATTCCTTATGAAACTTTAAGAATTAAGAAAAAGCATTTATTTTAAATTTTATTCTATTTTACCTTAAAATTCTTTTTTTGTCTGTAAATATGATGGCGATCAAGCCCAGGTCTCCTTACTTTCCAGGCAAAGTACTCGACAGCAGTCCTACCTTAACATTTTTAGTTAGGTTATTTCTAAGAAATTCATGTTTTCTATCACTAATGACTAGAAAGTAATTTGGATATTATTCTTTCGTAATGTTTTCATCGCATTTTCATATATTTCATGTTTATTGATGTTTAGTTTTGTCATTAATTTGTTGAAGCAAGGAGTAAGAGGCCAGGCATTTGATATAAACAGTATTAATAATTACAGCTCCTATTTCTGAGAGTTCCAGACATACTCTAAGAGTATTACTGGATTAGCTCACTAATCTCCACAGCAAACCTATGAAATATAGCTACTCAGCTGTATAGCCGTACAGCTCTAGTAGAGCAGTTTCTCCTTTTCACATGAGGAAACCGAAGCAAAGAGAAAATAAAGAACATACCAAGCATCACTTCGTGACTAAATGGTAGATCTGAATACAAACCTAAAATGAGCCACTGAGCTCTTCCAGGAAGAGAGGCTCTGTGCTACCTGTGTATGTTTTACTCTTTTCTTGACCTCTTAAGACATGATACTTTGTTTGATTTCACCTGGTTAAATCGTCATCACGTACATAATCCCGTCATGGTAAACTTAAAGTGAAAGTGTATTGATTTGTGTAATATCATAGGAAAGATGGGATCATTGTCTTTTTTTCTGTCCCCAAGCCTTACCCAAACCTCCAGGAACTCCAGTGGTGACTGAGAGTACAGCTACAAGCATCACGCTGACCTGGGACTCTGGGAACCCAGAACCTGTCTCCTACTATATCATTCAGCATAAGCCTAAAAATTCTGAAGAACCATACAAAGAAATCGATGGGGTTGCAACCACACGCTACAGTGTTGCTGGACTAAGTCCCTACTCAGATTATGAATTTAGGGTCGTTGCTGTCAATAACATTGGGCGAGGGCCTCCGAGTGAGCCTGTGCTAACGCAAACGTCAGAGCAAGCACCATCCAGTGCCCCACGGGATGTCCAGGCACGCATGTTGAGCTCAACCACGATTTTGGTACAGTGGAAGGAACCTGAAGAGCCTAATGGACAGATCCAGGGATACAGAGTTTATTACACAATGGACCCCAGTCAGCACGTCAACAACTGGATGAAACACAATGTGGCTGACAGCCAAATCACTACCATTGGCAATTTAGTGCCCCAGAAAACATACTCTGTCAAAGTCCTGGCTTTTACCTCAATTGGAGATGGTCCTCTTTCAAGTGACATACAAGTCATCACTCAGACAGGAGGTAAGTCTGATTTAGGATGGGAAGAATGGTAGGGTTGGGGGGAAGACGGAAAAGAGGAGATACAGCAAGGTAAATTCTAGGTGCGATGAATAAGGCCTCTTCCTTGCACCAGTTTGAGATTAGAGAAACTGTGCTTCTTTGTACTAAGGGCAACGGTATTATGGCCGCTAGGAATTATTTAGTTTGTGCAAATTTGGACAGATCAAGATAGAGTTAAAAACAGAACTGTCAGGAGGACCTAGGGATATTTAAATGATTTTTATTTTTTCAGGATGCTTTAAAACTAGCATTGTCTGAACGGCTTGAGTTTTTGTTTTTGTTTGTATGGCCTCATTGGATGAAGAAAGCCAGTTGACTTGGGGCCTGTGTTAGAACAGGGGCCAAGCTATTTTATGAAGAAGAGCTTGTGATGCTAGAGGCCTCACTTTCATAGCAGGACACCAAACTGCGCTGGTGCAGATTCACAGTCATCAGTTTGGCTTTGGACTGGGAATCTCAAACAGAAGCTTTCCTCTGAAATTTATTCTTGAGTGTCAGAGGCTACTCAACTTCTTAGTGTGTTGGTGCCTTGTAAGCTTCATTAGTCTGGGAATACTTTATCAGCATGTAGCTGGTTTATTCTGAGATTCTGTACAATAACCCCATTATTGGATACAGTATCTATAATGTATAGCGTAAGAATTGCTAATCCTGGTGAGTGATTGATACATTTTCTCTGGTTTCACTGATATAGTGAACCCATGACTTATTTTTGTGGCTGGTGTAGGCTTTGTGATTTATGTGACTTAATGTTTGCTTCTTGCCTGGAATCCCGCCTCCTCCACCCAGCAACATGTCTCTGTAAGTCTTCCCGCTTTTCTGAATTCTTCAGAAAAAATCAGAAAAGCGTAGTGTCTCCTTTTCTTCTCCGTATTCTAAACAGTCTTTCTTTAAGGCTTTGGGCTGCCCCTAGCATCTTGTATTTCTTTTTAAAATACATTGATATTTTATATTTTTATTTTATGTGTATGAGTGTATTGCCTGCATGTATGTGAGTGCACCCGTGTGGTGCAATGCAGCAGAAGTCAGAACAGGGCTTCGGATTCCCCTGGAACTGGAGTTAAGGAGAGTTCATAGCTGCCACGTGGGTGCTAGGAATCAAACCTGGGTCCTCTGCAAGAGCAGTCAGTGCTCTTAACTGCTGAGCCATCTCTCCAGCCCCTGCTCCCTGTCCATGCTACCCACATCCTCTGAAATATTTACAGCTGAGCTGGCTTTATTTTATTTTCATGATATTATTTAGTTATCTGTAGCTTGTTCATGGATTGATTATTTTCCTCGCTATAATGTATGAAAACTAACTATAAAAATATACATTTTGGCTAGGTGTGGTGGTGCACACCTTTAATCCCAGCATTCAGGAGGCAGGGGCAGGAGGATCCAATGAAATCCAGGCTGGTCTCCATAGTGAGTTCCGGGCCAGCTGGGGCTACAGGGAGACCCCATCTCAAAAAACAAATACATTTCACTAAAATTATAGTAAACATTATCCATATACCTTCATTTCTTGGTATTTGCAGTTCTGTGCTTATTGATTCACCATATTGATATTCAGGGAAATAACGTAGAGTAATTTAAGGTTCTCCCTTGAACATATAGAAATCTGTGAATGTTGTTCTACTCTTTCTTCACTAAAAGTGTTCACCTGTTTAAGATGACTTAGCTTATTCTAGCAGTTCCATAGCCACTAACGATAACAAGAAGGCATCTGGGAGCTTATTGTTTACTGTCAGAATTCCCCTATTTCAGCTGTGATGCTGAACACCAGCAAAGCCTAATTCTTTTTTTAAAAAAACTCTGTTGTTGTTGTTGTTTATTGACTTTTTTTTGTATTTCCAAACAATCTTATTCCTCTTTATACCTGCATCCCAAATGGCACCCTCCAGTAGCCTCCCTGCCCCCAACCCGCCACTGGAGTCCATATACTCTGTCATCCCTGTTGCTGTCCACTCTATTTTCAGTGCCCCAAGCCCTTACTCAGTGCTAGTCCATCCACTGAATCTAGTAAGCCTATCTAGATTTCTTCATTTAGCAGTGACCAGTTGCCAACAACTTTAGATAAGATTGGGGTCTGCTGTTCATTTTCCCAGTTCTATGCTGGGTTACTGTCTGCGAGTCCCTTGAGCCACCCTGGCCAATAACTCAAAGGAAAGCATCTCCTGTCTGGCATTGTTTCTTAAGAGTAAAAATAAATTGGTTAATCTGGGTCAGCTGTATGGTCTTAAACACCCAAAAGGAAAGTATAACCAAAGATTAAAGTGATCAGTATAATTCTTTAAGAGTCCATATGTATAGCTAAAAGCTACATAACAAGCCTAATTCTTATGCTTACAGCTGAGCTTGGTGACCTGGGATGAGATTCTTTTTGTGTCAGTTTTCTGTCACTTTGGCAAAATACCTGAGGTAGCTGAAGAGGAAAATATAGTTTATTTTGGTTCACAGTTTCATAAGTCTCAGTATGATTAGCTGGCCCATGTCTTTAGGTCCCATGTTGAGACAGAGCATTATGGTAGAAAACATGTTCTCTAGCAAAGTCATTGAAGACCAGGAAGAAAGATGAGGGAGGGAAGGAAGGAGGGAGGGAAAGAGAGAGGGAGAGGGAGAGAGTTGTTGTGATGGTATCTGTTTTCTAGGGCCACTTCAACAAAGGACCTCAGACTCAGTAGTTTAAACAGCAAGAATACATGGCCTCACAGATCTAGGATTGCTCTGTGAGCACTGTGAGGGGAAATATATCCTACTCCTCTCCCCCCGCCTCTGGGTAGTTTGCTGTCAGTCTTCTCATTCTTTGGCTTTCAAAAACAGGTGGTGCCTACATAAACATTTATCTCCAGATTTTTTTCCCTATAAGAAAGAATGTATCCAGATTTGCTTTTTACAAGAACACTGGCCATAAAGGTTTAGAGCCCACACTAATAATCCACCATCACTGATTTGATCCAATTGACCATAATCCCAAATCCAATCACAGTCTGGAGTACTGAATACTAAGACTTCAACATGTAAATTCTGGTGAGAGATGCCCATCAGCTCATAGTAGAATGTAGATTAGGCAAAAGAGAAATATTTACAACTTCATAGACAAAATATTATGATAGCAGGTAATCTTTACTAGTCCCTTCATTATGAGTGCCACATGTACATTTAATCTGTGCACTAGTTTACGGAAATGGAATCATCCCACTCGGCAGTGAGTAAACTGGAAGTAAGAAAAATGACCCAGAATTGGAACTGGTCTTGGGTAATAAGGTTAGGGCACTAAGTGAAACTGAAACGTGAGGAACCTGCAAAGTTCTAGCCACCATCACATTTCAATGATTAATTTTCTGATGTGATGATTCTAGTATTTTCTTCCTACTGAATATTCAGTAATAAATAGAAGCAGGGGAGCATATCACTCTTAAATATCTTTAAGAACTATATATAATTTAATTCTGACATACTTGATGTAATTAGGTTAACCCAGTGCGAAGGTACGTTAAAGTCTAGAGGTTACAAAGATAAGTTTATCTGAATGAAATGAGAAGAACTTCTTCTCTTGAATATGTTATTATACTCAGTCACTAGATTTGGCTCTAAGTTTTATAACCACAAATTTAAGCACAGAAAACTTCAGTGTTTTCAGAAGACAAAGGAATTAAGTACACAAGAAGTATGATTTTTTTCCTGAAATCAAATTCAGTAGAAATATGCATGTCCTTGATAATCATAAATATCTTCATATTCAGAATGTTGAAAAATAGAAACCAGTCCTTCTGTACCAACTTGAAAAATGCAAAGTGATGTTTAAACAGTGTAATTTTTTTAACATGAGTCATAGCTCCATGAAAGTTACACTGTAAAAGAGCAATGAATTAATAGGATTCAAGAATTTCGCTTTTGGACAGTCTGATTTAATTCCATAATAGCAAAGTTTAGAAAATCCATACCATGGGTCATAGACGTTCTAGAATGGCTCTTGACCTCTCTTGGACTACTAGTTTTTTTCGCATCAAGATATTTCTGACAGCCTTCCATAAGTTGCTCCTTCAATACCTGTTGAGAAGATGCATAATGACACTGCAGCTTATGACTGCCAAGATCAATATACTGAGAAAGCCTGCCACAGTTCACAGGGACTGATCTGTTCTGTAGACGTAATTAACAAAGGCCATCTGATGGTAGTGGATGGCTGCCAAATGCCATGATGTGAATTCCGATATAGTTAGTGCTAAGCTGCTGCTTTTTCTGCTGATTAGCTCATTCTTAGAATCACTGGTGTACGAGACCGTAAGACCATTGTCAAACATTCTTGTATAGTAGTTGCATAAAACTTAAGGATATGATTATTCTCACTGTAATTTTTGTCTCTCATAAAGCTAGAAAACCCTACTGTTCGAAATTCATACATATTTAAGAATGCTTTAATTACATATACACAAAAAGTGCCGTTTGATGCCTTCAGTGTCTGACAGGTACTCATTTCACCTTGTCACCTTGACTTCCCTAACACCTACATACCTCGTTTTGTTTCAAATCAAATTCAGAAAAGCAATGCTGTGGCGCAAAGTGAGTCTAAGAGAGAATTCCTCACTTTGGATTTTACCTAAGATAACTGGGATCCCTGATTGAGAAACACTGAAGAGTGATGTAATTGATGCTGCATATTTTAATAATAAAGGAAATCAAAATATGATGTCCATTCTATGATAAATCAAGAATATTCCTCTTTGGTTGTGAATATTGGTGCAGTTGACTATATTAATCTTTACATATAAAAGTTATTTGGTTCGGACGATTATTTTAAAGAAATTTGGGTTGGTCTTCTTATTTTCGCAGTAATTAGTTCTAATTTCTGTGTCATAGTCATTTGCAACTAGTTTACCTTGAAGTTCTGTTTTGTTGAACACATTCAAGAAGTAAAGGCTTGGGACAGGGTCTCCCTGAAGCCCCAGCTATCCTGGAACTCAATATGTAGACCA